GACGCAAGAGTAGAACGAGAATGAGGGAAACGCAGGAGGAAACAAGGATTGCACACATATACAGTGACGAATATTACACCGATATGTAGCACTTACTCGAGGTAAGCAAAAGGACAGATTTTTGCTTGTTAATGTTCAATTATTGGTTTGTCACTTAGACAAACAATCTACTGAAAACGTCATGAAGACTTAATGATGAACAGTGTGTTGATCTGCTTCTTCATTCGGACGATCAGTAGAAATCGCTAAGTAAACAGATACTAATGTCAATGACAGGATGGTTGTGATGGATGGAAGGGATGACCGCAAAGATCACTCAGTGCAGAACTAGTCAGGATCCATTGTTTCTTTGTAGACTTAGTAGCAACCACTTCTTCGTTCAAACAGGAAGAAATTGTGAAAAACCTCCGAATTTTAGATAACTTATTCCATTTTCACAGGTACCTGGGGGAACATATGCCCACTAGTAAGGATTCGACCTAAGCTCCCAGTCGTTGAAAAGTCGATCAATGAATGTACGACTGAGCTCGGTGATTTTTATGAAGTGTCAGCGTTTCGGACGTGGTTTGCGGACTAAATAAAAGCAGCCAAAATTCAGAATCTATCTCATCCGAAAATGGACCATAAATTCAGGCAGCGCAGGTTGTTCACTTGTCCTGTCGTATTTTGTGAGTTCGAACTATACGACTGTTGTCATCCACCACTCATTCAGTTGATTTGGGGTTATCAAACGGCCGCAATTTCCAGCTATGGTGCTTCAAATGAACGCAAGTAAGAGGCCAAGATAGCGACCGAATACATCTTGCGCGAACAGGAGTGAGTAGTGAATCACGAAACACGTTCAGGAGAATAGTAAACGTCATTTCATTTGCTTTCTCACAACTAAGATTGACCGAGCGTGCGTGTGGAGAAAAACGATGCACCATATGCAATGTCTTGGCCTATGATCAGAATTCGACAGCTCAAAGTAGCCAGAAAAGTTGATAGTTCGTGGATTTATCTGTCGGATAGCGAACAAATATTGCAGCTAAAACGTCTACTGATTCAGAACGTTCTAGGATAAAACGGACATCGAATCTGAAACATTTGCATAGGCAATTTCATTTCACCCGGTCGGTCAGGAAACACTGAGGGATGATTGACAGTTTTGCAATCTGTGACTTTAAAAGAGCGATCATTAGAAAGGGATGAGAAAACCTGAGCAAGTCCACATTCAAACGACTTCACTAGACAGAATGTTATTACCAGAAGTTTTGTTGAATAGCGGAGAAACTGTTTGAAAGATGACTCAGTCAACACAAGCAAAATAATACCTGGCCGTCTGGAACAGATCGTGCTTATACCGCAAAACAGTCCGCACTTAAGCACATACCAGATGATACACTTCTTCCAGGATTGCACAGCCCCACATATATGTTCTGAAACTACAATCCATCGTTCGAACCATAAGTTCACTTCGATAATCGGAGCCTTCATAACAAGGCAGTCCGCCATTTGTCACCACCCTTCATACAATGAACAAAGACCCAGTGGATGTGAACGTCGTTTTCTTTGCATAACTATCCTAATTGAGAATGACATCAAGCACCTTATTGTAATCTGTCTCTCGCTTACAATTCAATACAATGGAATAAAATAGATTGGACAACCAAACTTCGTGTATTAACGCACCTTCGATTCATCAGTGCCAAGGCACTCGACTGTGATTGAGCTTGTTTCTGAGCGTACCAATGAACAAACTCTACCATTGTGGAGGCCAACTGATCGAACATGGAAGCAGAACTATGCGCGGTACCGGATGGAACACAAATTTCCAAATTGTGTCTGACAATCGCAGTCAGATCAATCAGGGCGTTCGATTTGGCCGCCCCGTCCTGAACAGGTTCGATCAGGGTGGGGGCTAGGCACCAGATCTCGGTGAATCGGTTGCGTAAAGCCGGTGATAGTTCTTTTTTCCCGTAATCCCCACCAGGATTCATGGTGGCTACGAAACGGAATTGGGGATGCGCGACCAGGTCATTCCCGGTGAGTGTATTCGCATTATCAGCCAGCTCGGAACGCTCGGTCAAATGAATACGTCGCTCCGGTTCAAGAAGACTGTTCAGTCGCTCGAGGACAGCATCATCGGCTAACGAGATTTCATCGAGCAAAAACATTTCCCCATTCGACATTGCGGTCACCAATGGGCCGTCCACCCACTCGAACAAACGATTATCTTCACATGCCTGAAACGAACAACATTTGCAAGTGTGCGAAGGTAGAACCGAGTTATTTGTCTATTATTGGTCTCCAATTAACTCGCATACGCACTAAAATTTATTCAAATGCATCTACGAAGATAGGAATTTGAGAAGACATAGGTCAACTGCCTAGCACTAAATCGCATTACTTAAGTGCGTTCAGTAATCCAATATGCCTAAGGGAAACAGTGAAACGGAAATCGCACTAGAAACAGATTGACTGCATCACATAAGGACAGGTGGTAGCTATTCTCTCCACTTTTGCAGTGCAACGTAGTTATTTATTTATAAATCGATACTGACTAGATAAAATTATTGACTAATCAGTAAGAGATTGCACTTTTTGTGCGCCTGTGCTGCGTATGCCTTGCATTCACAATCTGGTCTTAATTACCTCATAAGTTTCAGGCAACCAGTTCCCTTTCATGAGAGCAAGAAGAAGCATCATGATCACAGGATGTGCTGAATTCAACTACTTCATGGTAAGCCAATCAACTGTGTACGGTTTTTGTCATCATATCGTTTTAAGGTGATCAAAATGATAGGCGGATAGAGCGCAGGTTGAAAAAAGCGATTGAAAGAACGTATAACGCGTATAACCTATAATGGTCATTGAATCCAATCTAGACAAACTCGACTATTCAGTTACCTCATCCTGCGTTTACCCGTTTCAATGTACTTGAGAGACAATTGTCTGCCAGGATGGCAGAGCATGCACCAAAGAATTTGGCGTCTAATGGGTCCAAGCTTATGTCAAATTCTGTCGCCCGACATATACTGGATTGCAAAGAATGTGACAAACCTAGGGAAGCTTTTCGTCTCTTGATCTGCCAGAAAGGTAGCCGTCTACTACGATTCGCTGAGGCGGCTGCCTCGTGCTACCCTGGTAGGTGTCACTGTCATCCTTCCTCTCTCCTGTCTCCAGCCTCAGCGCCCATCTCCTATCCCAATCCGGTTCATATTAGTGACCGTTGACCTTCGTACTGATTGATTTCTCTTTCCCGTGGGTGTTCGCTTGTTCCCCGTTCAATCCTTCGTGATCTGAATGTATGTACATAGCTGATGAGATTATCACGAACACATCCTGTGATCCTGATGCTTCTTCTTGCTCTCATGAATATCTCATAAGTGCTGGTGTCGAACACCAGGAGCATCAATGGTGCAGTGTATGGTTTAAGATAAATACCGGTTTCCGTAATAAAAGTGCTCTTCAACGAGAAAGAGAGAGAGAGAGAGACGAATATCACGTTGCACAGAGAACTGAATTGCTAAACGGAGAGAGGATAGAGTTGATGAGGAATGGGTGAAGGTGGGAGCTCAGAACGGATAAAGGAAACATGAAATCAGTCCATGGGTTCACTTGCGAATCCGTATGATGATTAGGATTGAGCGATACACAACTGTTAGGGGGAAATTACGCACCTTGTTGGGGTTGTCTGAAGAATGACGAACAGGTCGGAGGGCACCTAAAAAGTCGGCTGCTTCCGTGTACTGATGACAATTCACACAGTGCAGACGTTGGGCTTTTAACGAGGCAAACAATTGACACACGGTAGTTTTGCCACAGCTGTGCATGATCCAAACCCATTGGGGATTGAGCAGAGGCAGGGGGAGAGTGAAGAGAAAAGAAGAAGAAGAACAGAGTGAGATTGATAATAGTAATGTTGTCCGGACTGAAAAACCAAAGTAGAGCATTAAAACGAAGTATAAATTACAAAGGGCTAAACTATTTGAAGATATTACTTGAGGTGGATGGTGGCGCTTTCGGCATTGTTAGCTGTCGATCAATTGAATACCACAATCCTACATAGTTTTCTGGTCCACAACCCAGGACGTGCTGGACTAATTTGAAAAATGAACTCGAGTTCGTTATAACTATACTTACTTACTTCCTTCCTAGACTTATTCACTTTCACACCACTATCGATCGTTATGTTGCTATATTGCTTTGTTGCTATTAAGGTGGTGGTGGCGCAGTGGATTAGTCGCTGTCATCGCCATGCTTTGGACCCTATGGTTCGAGTCCCGCCACCGCCACCCAACTTTGGTTGTAGATAACCTGCTGCCTAACCTAGCGGGGCCTTATGTGGCTCGCCACTCCAAGTCCCGGGGCTTAGTTTGCCGGCTTCCATCACTGTACAGTAGATCTTTGTTACTATGAGGTTCGCCCCGTCTGCTGTTCATCACACAACGGTGTTCAATAAAAAGAGGATAGGCAGGCGCCATGGCTTATCATCATCATTGTACAGTGTAATAAAATGAAGCGAACTTCACTGATCGCTGCCAAACGCATAATGCATACAAGTGAGAAAGCTTAAGGACGTTAGGGATTGGGCGTACTTCTAGGGATGTGAAAAGAGAACGAACCTATATGATCAACACGCAGAGTTCACAGCCTAGCTGTGTATACGTACTATTTCAAGCATTCTGATCTGATCAGAAGAGACACCAAGATCGGCACTGCTGTCCGTCTGCTGCCATGACCTTCAGGTTACGGAGACTTCTGGATCCCAACCCGGTAGATGAGAGACGCTTACTCTACCTAATCGCTGTGAATTTCTTCATACCTCGTCTCCACGAGTCTTCGTGCAGTCTGTAGCGGTAACTGAAAGTAAGGCGCGTTGCGGTAGGCGACCGTCGGACATATGCAGTGTGTCTTAATCAACGGAGCTGAATTCGATGTAACAGCGAGTTTTTGTTCGGTGCATTCCCGAACACCCGACGACTTACTTCCAATTTATGAATCCGCTCACTCCATTCCACTTCGGCCAGACAGCTAAACGACGGATGTATTCCACCCGTAAATTCAAGGTCTCAACCGCAACGCAGAACTGATCGTACATTGGTGCAGTATACGCGACTTTTCAACGTCACATCATCCCCACAGGTGTTTTAGTCCTGCGTACACTGCTCGAGCGTTAGAAAGGCGGGGGATTATCTCCT